CGGTATAGTCAAATTGACCGACGGTCCTAAATAGTACATCATATTATTGGCTAACCTGTCACAGATTTCAGAAATGCAAGGCGTTGACCATATGACATCATATGGCCAAAAAAAAGCATTATTGGACTAGGGCGTTTCATTTGTTGTAAGACTATGCACTGAACATCTTGTGTGATAATCTGAATATGTATTTCGCATCTTTAGTGTGAACAGCATTAGTGTTAGGTGTAATAGTAAGTTATACAAGTTTAGATATTATCGATTTTTCTTTTTTCGTTAAAAAAAAAAAAATAATAAAAAATCTAAAATAACCTTTTATTATTTTATTTTAGTTCTCTTGAATTATTAATCCAATAATCTTCTAGTGAATAATTTTATGTTTAAATATACAATAGCGCGATTGCTTAATTTGTTATAATAGTATAATGTAATTCAAGTAAACTAAAAAATTTTTTTCGTTCCAACTCAGCGGCTTCAGAATATCACATATAAGGTTCATGTGAACTCTTATAAAATAAGACTTGAGTTTATTACACGATTGGCGTCCTAGTACCTCTGCAATTTATCGCCAAATCATTAATCTATACGAAATTTTTAATGTTTTTTCCGTTTTTTGTAATCTAATTAGTCAATTGAGTTCCGTGATCGGGGTTATCCGTTGATTTACCTTTAAGCCATTGCTATAAACAAATTCAATACGAGAATTCATTTATGAATGTTAGGACGTGCCCGGAGGCTAGTTTTAATCAAAAAAACTTTTTTAGATTGAAATTGACCAGTTAAATGATACTTGCGAGCGAAAAAAGAAATTTAGCTTTATATAATTTTTGCCGGTCGTAAATTTAAAATTACCCATTGCAGCATTGGGAAGGTTATAATTTTCCTATCGCTATCAGATTGGCGCAAATGATGATCAAGACAATTTTTAGCAATTGTCCAACAGATTATATTTCTTAATTAAAAATTCATTTTTTTGAAAGCATTCCTGTTTTTTTCGGTTTAAGTTGCGGAGGATAACCTTGTATCTTTAAAATATCCTTTTGAAATAAAAACATGAAGTTTGGCAGTCAACTAAGGGCGGCCTTATATGAGGAATGGGCCAAATCTTATGTTGATTATGACGGACTAAAGAAGCTTCTTAAACGTGGAATTAATAAAGAAGGTGGATATACTGGAAAAGACGAAACGGAATTTGTCGAAAAGTTAGATAAAGAGCTTGAAAAGGTTGGTTTTTTAAATCAGGGATAACATGAAGTGTGATATTATGAGAGTGTTAA